GCTCTCCTGGCTGGAGCTCCGGCCGGAGCGCGGCTAGCCCGCGGCCCCGCTCTCCTGGCTGGAGCTCCGGCCGGAGCGCGGCGGCCACGTGACCCCAGCCGGAGCGCTGCAAGCCCCGCGGGCCTGCTCTCCTGGCTGGAGCTCCGGCCGGAGCGTGGCAGCCCCGCGACCCCGCTCCCCTGGCCGGCAATCTGAAGTGCCGACGAAGACTGGGAGCGCCGCCCGGTGAGTACAAGCCCCAGGAATCGGGCTCCACACTTGCTAAAACCGGCCCTGTCCACAGTGGTGGGAGGCTGAGGGTGTAGCAGGGAAGGCAACCAACAGGAGGTAACCAGACTGACAAGATGCATGGAGCTGCTTTTCCTTGCACTCTGCAATGCTGCCAACTCATGATTTTATTCATAAGAGTCATGGGTTATGGAGTTCCTCCTAAAGCCCTATGCTGGATTCATGGGGTTACATGGGAATCTCAACTTTCATTTAAAAAAAAGTGTTTCTAGCCCTCCTGGCTACAGGAAAAAGCTTGAGAGCATACACTCCAAAGGTTCCAGTATTTTAAAAACATCTCATGATTTTTGGAGCCTGACTAATGATGTGTGAATTCTTGGGGATGGTGATCACATCCTCCTGTGAGACCCTCTTTGTGCTCCACCCCCAAGGGTGTAAATTATCCCAGCTTTCACTCATGCCAACTAACCAGTAACGATTAGCAGTGCCATTCACATCCCCACAGACATTACCACAAGCACCGGACTCGAGTCATCCAGCACCAAATGGCTTTGACTAGAACAACTTCAGCTCCTTGATGGAGACAAGACCAAGCTCCCCATATCAGACACGAATCTAGGGTTTTATTTTAAGCCACAGACTTTCTGAAATGTAAATATACCCTTGAGAGCCAAAAATCCACGCACGGAGGCCTGTGCTCTAGCAACAAATCTGATCTGAATTCCCAGTCGCCACAAAAAGCAAAATGCAAATCCAGACCCACAAGCTTGTGAGCAGAGAAGACTCATTACTAAGGGCTTATCTAAACTTACAGCACTGCAGCTGCACTACTGTAGTGCTTAGTGAAGATGCAGCATACCAAGCGTAGGTACTCTACCTCCCCAAAAGGCATCAGCTATGTCATTGACATAAAACACTGTCTACACTTGGGGTTAGGTCGGTATAACTGTGTCGCTCAGGGGTGTTGCGTTCCAGACTCCTGAGTGCCAGTTATGCTGACATAATTTGCTAGTGCAGACCAAGTCTAGATCTTGACACTAGTTTGGATATTATTATGTAGTATCTGTATTCCAGAACCACTGAAAGGCTCCAGAACAGATCAGGACTCCACTCTGCTGGGCACTGTGCAAGCACACAGTAAGAGACAGTCCCTGCCCTGGAGAGCTTCCAGTCTAAATTCAGGCAAGATGCAACAAGCTGGTGTAAGAAACAAGCGGAAAGAGTGTGCACACGCATGCACATGCATGGCCCCCAACCCCACCTCACGATAAGAGAGCCAGGAACATGTGGCTGCATGGAATGGCTTTGTGCCGTTTACACAGCTGAAGCTTGCAAGATATTAACCAACAGGAGATATTAACAAGGTCAGAAATCCCTGCTGATAAGATCTAAACTGCCCTGACCCGTTTCCCCAGATTCAAACCGAAGCCCCAAACCTTTTCTGACATGCAAACTATCTGACTGTTGTTTTGTTTTCACTCTCTCTTACTTCCTACTCACATCAGGCAGCTGAATAGGAAATGCTGAAATCCCAGGAGTGGCTCAGCCCAAATCAGGAAGTACTGGAGATCTTCCAAGAAAGCCTGTGGTTTCCAGGCCGAAGAGCTCTGTACACATCTGGTCATAAGCATCACATTTTTATCTCCACAGAACTTGAGCCCCACCCTTCCCTGCCCAGGCCCAGAAATAAAGTACACAGCTGGGACTAGAGGGAAAGCACACCTGAAGGGCGGTCACTGCACGCTTTATACAGTAGGACAGTCAGGAAGAAATCTACCTACAGTATGTTGAGTTGCCCAGTGCTGCCACATCCCCCAGACGCTTGGGACGGCAGTGTCTCTGGGTCTCCCAAACTCAGAGAAGGGCACACATGCAGTGATGTTAATTTCAGATATTTCTAAATCCCCAGATTGGTGACTGGGTGAGAGGTCCGAAGAAGCACTGCTCCCTCGTGGGATGATGCCCTTTCCGTCCCATGCAGCCAGTGCCTCTGACTTCAGCACATGGCATTGGGGTTTCAGCTCTCAGAGAAGATATTGCATGTGCTAAGGTGAGAGCTCTTAACAGTAACACATTACACTGATGCCCAGGGGGTGCCTAGTGCTAGCTCTAGTCCCTTCCTTCCTCTGCTCCACGGACACTGGGCAGATTTAGATCTCTAAATAAAGTGGCCCCTATTTTTGCCCAGCACACACACACCTGAGCCAAACCTCGCCCAGATGGCACAGCATCATCACTTCTGCAGAAGTCCCTGAATATAGCCTGGTTACAAGGCTGGGCAGAGTATCTATCCAAATCCCCCGTTCTGGACACTAAAGCCATGCTAACATGGGAAATGCTGAAAGCTCTGTTTTTCTGGAGCATTAGCAGTGTCAAGCAGAGCAAAATCTGGATGTCCAGGGTACTACAGTGACATTTCTGTTCCCAAGACAGAGCCAAAGACCACCAATACTGCCCACTAATCAGCTCCAAACACCCACATGGACCCAGCCTGGTACCTCAACAAGATTCAAACATGGCTACAAATGGCCATTTATGAAGGCTCTGAGGTACTGTATTCTGCTTATGTCCCTTTTTATACAAAATATCACAGTGGCATCTCAGCCAAAGCGTCCAAGGAAGGTAACATACAACTTTGCAGCGTTGCCCACTCTTGCAATTTTATCGTGAGTCGCATGATAGCTCATGTTTTTCCTTAAAGCTCCGGAAGTCAAACAATTACGTGAGAATCTCAGTTTTCATTTAAAAAAAAAGTGTAAGTTTCTAGCCCTCATGGTTGTTGTAGAAACACTTGAAAATATGATTCCTGCAGGCTAAAAAAGAAAACCAGCCGGCAAATAAAGAGACCCAAGTTTATTTTTTTTTAACTAATGATTTTTAAGATACTTTTGATTTGGGTGGGCCCTTAGTCATGGTTTTTGAATATTTGGGTTGACAATATTTGTGCAGTTAGTGAACTGCCTTAAGGCTTGGCTACCTGGGGACACTCGGGAAAGTTAAAATGAATTAACTAAAGCTGTGAAGTTAAAGCACATTAACTCCTGTGTGGATGTTCTCATTCAGAAGTGGCGTTAGTTCACTGCAGCATTAGCCAGAGGTTTAATTCACTTTAAAAATCACAGCTTATAGGTTCATAGATTCTAAGGCCAGAAGGGCCCATTGTGATCTCTCGTTTCACCTCCTTGATAACACAGGCCATAGAACTTCCCCAAAATAATTCCTAGAGCAGATCTTTAACGTCTATTCTTGATTCCAAGCTTAATCAGTCTTAACTTTCTTGAGTGTCCTGCATAGACAAGCCTTGGTGTTATCCACTCTCTAGAGCCAAGATATCCAGCAGGGTGATAGAGATGCACTGGGCTCACGTCGATACTCCTTAACCTGGATGGTTTCAGAGTAGCAGCCGTGTTAGTCTGTATCCGCAAAAAGAAGAACAGGAGTACTTGTGGCACCTTAGAGACTAACAAATTTATTAGAGCATAAGCTTTCGTGGACTACAGCCCACTTCTTCTT